CGATGCCTTAGCCTACTAATAATCTTAACCTCAGCAACATACTCATTTTTCCCCTGTCTTGATCCACTGGATATTTCTTTCACCGCGATTGGCATATCCAAGTCTACAAGATAGCCCTCATAAACATCTCCAAATCCTCCTCCTCCTAGCTTTCGTTTACTTGAGAAATTATGAGTGGCTGATTCAAGCTCAAAATAAGAAAATCTTCTTGGTCCAGTTCCTCTCTCAAATTCATCATCGAATGAGGTATCCTCATCTTTTTGTAATTTCATCTGCTTCCTCCTTCGATACATAAAGAACTCAATAATTCCTCCCAAAATAACAACAAAAGCACCTAAAAATACAATTATCATTATGCCCTTCTTAAATTTTTCTTTCTTAGGAAGATCATTACTATCATCATTTGATATCAAACTAGAATAAAATTCCCATGATTCGAGTGTGTGTAGCTCCTTGCTTACACCAGTCAAAGCAGAAAAACCAATGTTGACCCATTCAGGTATGATTTTCATAAGATTAATTGGTAAAGACATACTTGAGTTTTCCAAAATTCGTATCATTCTTATAAGACCAAAACACACTCAAAATCTCAGCAGTCGCGTTATAAATGACCCAAACATCAGCAGACTGTCCACTATGCTCACTAGCACTCCATGGTTTATGTACAGATAAAATAATGGAATTGACATAGATACCAACATATAATCAGGCTCATATACATTTCCATACGAGTCAAACTCAACTACAATCATTTGATTAGTTGATGAATTATATGTTGTAGAGTTGAAGAGGCCAAGATAGGCACCGGCAGAGTTTGGGGGGGGGGGGGGATTTGAAACCGACCGGAGAAATGGAAAATGTGAATCCATGGCCATACTTAGATTTATTTTGCCCCCAAGTAACAACGAAGGTGAAATAAGTAGAAAAATCGGACATTTCTTGTAAACTTTTATCCCAAAGTCGTACCTTCTCACCATACTTAATTAGACCTTGTGTATGTATGTTCATCTCTATGTTCCCTAGGGAATATACAGCCTCGCCCTGGATATCTATGTTTGATGTGTTTTGATAAAAGCGAGAATAATTGAACGAAATCGAATTAGCAATCTGAACAAGCGAAAGGGAGAGAAGGGAAAGGGTTAAGGGAAAACATATAGAAATATCTCGAAACGATGGCAGGGAGCAAAGGAAAGATGTAGCCATTCTTTGGGTAAATGAAAAAAGTTCTTGGAACTCAGAAAGCAAAGTTAAATAAAGCAAATTGAGAAAGAATTTGAGTTATGAATAACAGAATATCCTCACAATATTAATGTAGTATATGATTTTAGAATTGTTTTAAGGATGTAGTACCCGTAATATATTACTTAGATAATGAATTTGTCAAGAACAAAAAAAATGAGACTTCGACAAACGAATATAGTTTAAGGATGCTAAGTACTCTGTGCGAAAAAAGAAATTTTGACGAATGATAGAAACATATATGAAGTAGTATATGTACGAAGTACATGATAGTGAAATCAATAATTAATATTACTTTTTTTTCCGTTTTAAACTAGTTGCAACGATTTGACATAAAATGTGAGTAGAAAATGTTTAATCATTAAAAATAATTTAAAATTGAGATATTTTATATAACAAAAATAACTCATGCATTCAAAAAAAAATTGTGTAGAATTTAGAGAAAAATGGTATTCTCGTTTTCTAAAGTCAAATGACCTATTCTAAATTTTATTTTTTTAATTATTGAGTTATTGTCTTGTTCATCTTGATCAATAGAGAAAAAAGATGAATGGGATTCTCTTTACTCGCAACCCAGTTGCAGTTTACTTTATGAGAATCGGGAATAATTGAACCCTAGACACCTCTTAGTAAGGATGACAAATGGTCTTGAACCTGACCAAGACTAGTGCTCTATCTGCCCCTCCCTAATTTATCAATTATAAGTACTGTAGTACATGTCAAGGGTCGGATCTACTTCTCGAATCAATAGTGTTATATCAGACATTTTTTAGGTACTTCATATATAACTCATCAGAACAGTTATACTCCGTTAAAAATACAAATTTGTGGATGATGAATTCTAACTAATTTTGAGGAAAGAAGTACAAATTAGTAGCTTGTCACCTTGTAGTAGAGATGATTAAAAATTTGGATCGGCTCAAGCATTAACATCAAATATTATGCTCAAACCCGTAAAAAGTGGCAGGCTTGTTGAGCCACAGCGACTTTTTCAAGCTTTTTTGAGCCAACTTCAGGTTTTTAACTAAAAAAGTGTGTTTTGACTTGTCCAAACCCACCCTATTTTGAAAGCGGGCTAGCGGGCTGAGACGTAGTTGATCACCTCTGCCTTAACTTGTAGGCTTGTAGCTAAACTTGGCAAACGGGTCGTTCAGGTCTGGTCAATTCGGGTCAAGTCAATTTCGAGTCACCAAATATTCGGGTTGGGTTGGGTCAGGTCAATTCGGGTCAACACCTCGGGTTAAGTTCGGCTCAGGTCAGTTCGGGTCAAGTCATTTTGGGTTGGGTCAGTTTGGGTCAGGTCAATTTATAGGACCAATTTTCGGGTCGGGTCAATTTTTAGAACCAATTTTCGGGTCAATTCGGGTCGGGTCTCCAAAATAAATTCACTAGTTGGAAAAATAAAGCAAAATCGTTAAGAAAATAAAAAAAAAATCATGAGTACCTATTACTTAGGGAAAAAAAAAAAAAAAAGCCCCAAAATAAGTAATTCACCATTTCACACTCTATTCACTTCAGAAATCGGGTCACTTTGGGTCGGATCAACTCGGGTCGGATCACTTCGGGTTTTGGGTCAGGATTGCCAAGTCTACTTGTAGCTAGATGATGATAGACATGAATTAATTTTTTACCATGCACTTTCTAATGCTACGTAGACATGTTCTTCTAATGTGATCCCTTATCTGTTTGGTTTGTTTCTCTAAATTTACTCCATACTTAAATGAATATAAAGATTCACCATTATACTCTTTAACATTTTTCACTACATACACTGATGTCCTGATTTCATTAATTTTTCTCTTATTACATTAACTCCACACAACTATTAATCAATTAAAGATGTAACAGCAATAGTTTATGGAACAAACGAAAGGAGACGACGTAGGAAGTAGTATACACGCCGCATCATCATGAAACAAGACAGATGATTTTTTGGAAAAAAACAAATATTTAGTAGACAGAACAGAAGAGATGTTCTTAGAAAAATCTTCTGATGTTCAAAACACAAATGAAAGCTAACTCAAAGCCTTACATAGGTTTCTTTGACATTTCAGTAATTGTATTTACATTAGAAAAAGAAAGTGGATGGGATAGACTTCAAGGTCACTTCAGCAAGGATTTTGTACAGCATTTGAGAAGGATGAACAGCATCCCAAAATACATATTTATCTGGATTTTTGCATGTTTCTGAGCCTTTGCATGCATCACCTACCTCAAATGTTCCTGTCCCACAACATCCTTTTGTTGTCTCACTAAAACCTGTCAAAACATATATGTATTATTTAAAGTTAATAATTTAATTTTATCTCTCATACTAATTAAGCTTAACTTGGTCTAGTGAATCATATCTAATTTTAATTTGCTCGTCCAAGAATATGAGTATTGTGTGTGTTTGTGTTAGGTAACAATGTACTATCGTTTCTTTTTTTTTTTTTTAAGTTCATGTTTGGTTTTTAATACAATTTTTATTGCATACATTTGTCATGTATTTTAAAAAAAAATAAAGTATACATAATTAAATTAAACTCATAAAACAGTAATTGTTTGAATCTACACATACATTGAGACAAGTATACATACAATCCTACACTTTTTTTTTTTTTTCTTTTTCATGTGAATCAACATGCACATATTTCGATGATTAATACTCATGGTTATTTTTTCTTCAACTATAGTATTCCTAATTGACATGTGATATACAACTTAGAGACGGAGAGAATAATTTTTTGAGAGAATAGCACATTTTTATCAAATTAAAAAGGAAATCGTACAACACAAGCTAAGCTAGCTTCTAAACTTTAGTTGGACTTACCATATTTCTTTGGGTTGTTAATTGCGGAGTCAACGACTTTATAAGCATCAATAAAGAGCGTTTTCATGTTCAATTGAGTTTCAATAGTCTTCAATTCTTTCTCTATTTTAGAGTTAAGAGATAAGACTGCTTTGTTAATTTTATCAACGCAATGTATTCCATCACCTACAAATGTTTTCACCGCGGGCATGCAACCCAATGGTGGCACACCAACTACGGCTATTCTTTTTGCTCCAACCTTGTGCATCTCCTACAATTCAAGACGATATAATAGATTACGTTAATGGCAACGCGCATTATTATATCATCTTTCAAGGTCGGAATCATGAAATTATATATCTGACAGTATCTGATCTTGAGATACGAAAATTTAATTAAATAACTAAGGCTATATTCATGGACAATTATTGAATGTTAAAGTCAATTGTTATGAAAACGAAAGTGATCATTATTTTGAAATGAAATGAATATGTATACTGTACTTACCACAATGGCATGACGCATGCGAGAGACCAAGTAATCTTGGTACTTATCTAAGGTGAATTGCTTGGGACGAGTAGGCTCCAAGAAGTAATTTTGTAGGTAATCGTTGGTGCCCGTGCTCATTAGTATTGCAGCCTTTCTTATACTTTCATCTGCCTTTTTGTGTCCTACAAACTGTCCCAAGTGTATCTTATAATGCTTGAAGTATTCTACTTGTCTAGTCAATGATATGGTATTCTGTCCATGAAACAGAAAAAACAATATAATGTCATATATTTTGTAACGAGGGCGCCCCCATTACTCATTGTGAGAAACGTTTTTGTTTTTCACAGTGGCAGTTTCGTAAATAAAATGTACCACTTTAGTCACGGTGGTACATTTTATTAAGTGGTACATTTTATTTACGAAATGGATGATAAAATTGTACCACTTTAGTCACGGTGGTACATTTTATTTACGAAACTGCCACTGTGAGAAACAAAAACGTTTCTCACAGTGAGTAACAGAGATTTACTGTTTTGTAACGTCAAAAATGAATTAAAATGTTATTCTTGTTAATTGAAGATGAATGTTTTAATTGAATTTGTCCTCGACTAATCCCATAGACTCACATGTCTCACATTAAAACATTAGCGTACTAGGACCCTTTGAAGTTAAATAAAGGGGGTGGGGAGGCATTTCCCTACCCCAGCCCTATATGTTGTAGTTGAGGTTACTAGAGACAAGTTCTAGCCAATGGACCAATTGATGTACGGAGTAATAGTTTGCTTACATCTTACAGTAAAATTGTTTGGATTTTTTAGAATGGTAATTAAAGTACATACTACGTATTTATTTCGTACGAAACATATTATTGTTGATTGAAACTAGACTAATTGATATCAACAATTATGTTAACCGCATCTATCATGATCTAATTAAAAACAATGTGCATTTATGAATTAACTAAAAGATGTTAATCCAGTATAGTACGTCTCTCAATCACACACACACATGTACATGCACACGCATATGTACGCACACTATGTATCATGGTGGTTTTTTAATTAGATACAAAGAATTCACAATTCACTTGATCTAAAATCAGTCGTTTTATTATTTTCTTGTTTATTGTTGTTGGTAATGTACAACTGAAAGCTTAGTTCGTAAGAGAGCTTACAGTGAGATTGGCAGTGAGGTCATCATAACCAGAGCTAGCAGAAGCAAAACTAACAGCATGTAGCAAATCCTGTTTTGTTATATTTGGGTCTAAAAACGCTGGTACTGTATATGCATAACCTAATGCTTCAGCTGTTAAAGTTAAACACCAAAATTAATGAGTAACACACGAGTCATTTGCATTAAATTACTGATGATATGTCAAAAAAAAAAATGAATAACACAGCTAAGTGTTTAATTGAGAAATATGAATCATATATTTCAATTAATATTTAATAGGAGGTCATTGTTCAATCATTATAGACGCGCTCATAATTAAGCTAGCTAAATCTCCGACATCTATCACGATTATTATTGATCGGAACCATGGATGAGTAAGCGATCCTAGATAATCATTAATTACTATTGCATGTAAACTAGCTCCATATTTTTTTTTATTTACATGCTCGTCTTCACTACAAAAATTGTACTTGCTTGTATACATATACAGTATTAAATATATAACCTTTTAAAATTATTATTATTATTATTATTATTATTATTATTATTGTTGTTAAAATTATTATTATTATTATTATTATTATTATTATTATTATTATTATTATTATTATTATTATTATAATTGGACGGACCATTTTATGTTAAATGCAACCCGTCCTATCCTCTCATTATAGTGTGGCTTATCTTGCTAATACAATACAAGTAGACCACAGAACATGTCGGTCCTACTTTCTTTCTTTTTAAATGAGAAACTAATAAACTTTAATTAGGCTATTCAAATGGACAAGCCGCCAGTCCTACTTAGTTAAATCTGATTTATTCTATTTTAGTTTTTAATATTGTCAAAAAATTGAAAAATGGAATGGGTCCATAACAAGTCACCTAGTTCCTTCATTTACAAATATGTTTTAGGTTGCCATTTGTTCATTTTTTCATAATTAAGTTTATACACAACATGAACAAGAAAAATCAATACATTCATCATATATAAGACATGACATATCAATGTACTTACTGTCATTCCAAGCACTGTCTTATCATAGGAGTTATTGACTTGTAACCTCAAGTTACATCTTTGACCAAGCAAGTTATTTACGATGTTATTATAATCGATACCTTTTGTTTTTTCAAGTGTCTTAACCATGAAAGAAATTCCACTTATGACGACATTTTTCTTGTATATATACGAACTGAATGAAATACCAGTAATTACAAACCCTTTCTCTTTGTAGAAAGCTTCCATTTTACTAATTCTAAAAATAGAAGTAGGGGCTTCCAAGATAATAAATTTATAACTTTTAAATATGTACTGTACTAGATTTCTCTAGTACAGTGTAAGCTTGTTAACCACAGCACAAAAAATAAATTAATATGTCAAAAGATTAATAAATAAATACTTGCTATATAAATATTAAATAACAGTACTATACTATGCATTATTCAAAATTGCATGATAAAAGTATCATAATCACTCTACGTCCAATTTCAGCTACGGTGTACTACATTTTCTTTTACATGCACAATAACTGAGGCTACGTATGAAAATAATAACAATTTTCGTTATGCATTGCCATATTAAAATTTATGAAAAGCAAATATTAAAAAAATCATTAAAACAAGTTTATTAACAAGATTTTATATATACTCCATAATATAATAGGGTTGATTAATTTGAGTCCAAAAGAAGCAGATATATCAATATTTGTACTCGTAACGAAAATACAAAATGAGATGGAGGGAATAATATGATATTTACCTACGTAGTCACTTGCAAGCTTCCCATTACTAAACCTTCCGGTAGGGTGACCACCCATGAAGTCCTTCCCATAAGGTAAAAAGTTGCTCTTCGACGTGGTTGTGATGCGATTGTTGTTGCCGGGATCAACACTTGAGTCTCCAAACACCAACAAACTCGACAACCGGTGTTTAGCTCTCAACTCTCGAATGTCCGACACTGTAAGAGCATTCAAAAGTGTAGGCATAAACAACATGGAAAACAAAATTGATCCTAAACAAAAAGTTTTTAAGCCCATGATTAGATCTCTTTGTGTGAATAACAAAGTGAGAAATGTACGTAGCAAGGTAATACTCATATATAGCAAGTGCTAGTAGCAATAAAAGCTAATTAAAATATTGTTTCAACAAAAAAATAATAATTTTTTTGGGTAATTCTACATTTAGCCTTAGAGTTATAAATAAGCATTAAATATATTTTCTTATTTGCTACTCCGTATTAGTTTAGGAATGCATGACAAAATCACGCGTAAATCAGTGTAATTAATGAGTATATTAAATTAATTCTTTCCTCTTATAACTTCTTATGCATAGCCTTTAGAACTGTGTATATTATTTTATTTCTTTATATACAAATAAGGACAAGCAGTCATAGTTAAGTGAATTTATTTGACAGAATGTAATTTAGATGGTATTGGTGAAACATTTATGAAGATATAAAGTTAGGTTTATCTACTGAATTTATACTGTACAGTTAGTTATTTATAGAGCGAGATTGAATGCAATAATTATTAGCCGGCAATAATATTGGATATATTTGGAGATTTGGTTAGTACTTGATGGGCAACTTTCTCATGTGGAATGCCAGATGAATTTTTTGGGTATGGTTAAAAATAATCAAATCACTAGTATAGTACATGTTCAATTGGGAGAAATATTGGCGCATAGGTCCTATGCGTTTCACATGTAAATAGAATGGCATTTTTGTAAGTAATGGGAATCTGAGAAAAAGTATTGGTGGAAAATATACTACATGCATAATAGTAAACAAAAAGTATTATTAGACAACTTATACTTTAATGGTACATTATACATGCATAATAGTACACAAAAATGTACCACTGTACCATGACAAGAGAGAAAATGTACCACCGAACCCCAAATTGTCCTCCTATGTACATGTCAAATACATAGGCCCTATGCGCCTAAATGCACTCGTGCAATTGCAAGGTTTTGAAAGTTCAAATATTAAATCTCACAAAATCGAAACCAAAGTTGGCTTAAGGAAAATTTGATAAATACCACCATCTATTGTTTACATTTTGTACAATACCACCTCAAGTATTTTTTTTTTATTGTATATTACCACCTGGTTTTTTCAAAAACTAAAAAAACTCCCACCAATTTTGCCAGCTAACTCCCCTATATGACGTCACGGTGGGTCCCACTACCAATTGTACCTCTCTTTTCCCTCGATTTTCACCTCTATTCTTCCTTCTTCTTCCTCTTTGTCTAATTTTAATATCAATTTGCGAATCAATTAGGCGTTATTTAGGGTTTTAATTCGTGAATTTGTTCTTTAAGCCAAACGACAATGCAAAATCTAAGGCATAATCATGTTATAGAGAGTTTCATTTAATTAGGGTTTATAAAATCAATTTAGGGGTGTTTCAATTGAATTTAGGGTTTATAAATTAAATTTGGGGAGTTGATTCTAGGGTTAATTAGTTGCAAAATTGGTTAATTAGGATGATTAAGGAAGAAGAAAGGTGAAATTCGAAGGAAGAGAGAAGGAAAATTAGTTAGAGGGACCCACCGTGACGTCATATAGGGGAGTTGGGCAAAAGTGGTTGGAGTTTTTTTGGTTTTGAGAAAACTAGGTGGTAATATACAATTAAAAAAAATAATAAAAAAAAATAATAAAAAAAAAAAAAAAAGAAACTTGAGGTGGTATTGTACAAAATTTGAACAATAGATGATAGTATTTTTCAAATTTTCCTTAGCTAAATGCACAATAGTGATACTTTCTTACAATATTTGATTATTCATTCGCAATAATATGTACCCATCTTATTGTGAATGATACTGCATATCATAATTTTAATTCAATGTTAAATAAAAATATAAATTTAGATTTAGAGATATAAAAAGGTTTATGGCCTTTATACCTTTTACCTTTAAGATTAGAACTACTCATGCATGCCCATGCATATTTTCATACTTTTGATTTAATCAAGATAATGATAGTCTCTCCATCCCTTAATGTGGTTATAAAATTTAAATCAGGTACTTAAAGTACCCTCAAGATAAATAAAAGTTACCATGTTATAATTACAAGTTATTCATTTAATGAAAACCTTATGTTTTGTATCTAATGGAGACCGTATAATCTACATTATAAAATCATACGTTAATTTTTTTTTTCCTAACCTTAATGTCATAATTTTTTTTAGGTACTTAAGTTATTTTGTAGCACCACTTTTTTGCCTTTTAAAAAATAATTAAGTATTGTAGTATCTATTAACTTATACTAAAAGTGAATAACCAATGACATTTGTCATTTACCTTGTGAAAAATTTCTCGCCTTTTACGCATTTTTTTTTGGCAAAATCTTTAAGTAAACTATTTATACCTTATGATATTTTCTTTCCAATTTGACACATATTCCATATATACCCAAATGAAATATTTCTGCATATCTTTTATATACTTTATATATTGTAATATAATTGTCAAAAATATTTAACAATCATGCATTGCACGAAATATTAACCTAGTTTCAAAATAAATTGCTATCCAAATAGAGACAAGGGAGTATAAACTTACTCTTTTTTATTTTAGTTTATTTTGTGGAAAAAACATAACGTTAATGGATCTTTTTACCCTATGAATATATTGAATTTTATTATACGAAGTAAATAATTAGGAAATAAATAGTTAGGTTTGTCATGTCTTTTCATACCTACCTACCTAAGTTGGTCATGTAATCAACTAATCATATATATTAGATATATTGGAATCAAGAAAATCATATTGACAATCTATATACTATGCCTAAATATATTCTTATTTCCTTCCCAAGTGTATATTCCAGTATCTACACTCTATGTCATAAGCTACAAGATGCACAATAATATGAACCTACACTATGTAATGAACGATTATTGTATGAAAGATAAGTTAAATCAGTGAATTTTATTTATTTATTTGAAAAAACTTAAAGTTGATTGTATTATTATAATAATAATGTTTCCTTGAATGTCATCTTTTACAAAATTTGACACTTGTTCAGCATACTTGCCCCATAAAGTAATTTCTCAATTTGTTCTTCCTATCAATAGTGATTAAGAAAACAATAAATTTAAGCAAAATTCAATTTATTGTACAAATAAATTATATACAATAAATTATCTCACTGCTGATCCTCTATCTCAAGTGGCAGCTTGTAATTTGGTGTAAAACCTTTCGACTCATTTGTCATCTCATCTATTCCCGTAATCATTCCGACTACATCTATAAGACATCAAAAAAATATATTGCTTTTAATAAATTAAATTTTTAAACAAACAGAAACTAAAAGGGACATAATACGTGTCATTTAGTTGTAATTTAACTATAAAATTTATCGACTAAATAAATGTCATTTAACTATTTTTTATGTATTTTGTGAAAATGGACTAAATCCAATCCGTGTAAGGAGTGTCCAAATTCTTCGCAATCTTTGATTAAATTCTCATAAAAAAAATTTAAAAAAAATGAATTTGTAAGTATGACCAGTTGTTTTATACTTTCCAAAATATTTCCCTACTCCAAAGTTAGAAATGATGCAAGTTGAGCCTTCATTCACAAGTTTTTCAAATCGCTGAATAAGTGTTTGTTTTATACTGGCTTGCATCTTTAATCTCTGTATGTGATAAAAATTATAGTAATTATTATATGGCGTAAATAAAAAGAACGCATTATTAGTTTGAATGAATTACAGAGCTATAAAAATAACATTGTACCTTTTCATCAACCAAAACCAACTCAATTGAACTAGTAATTTCAGGTTTATTGTTGTCTGGAACGTACCAAAGTCTCACAATCCTAACTTTGATCTTCCAATTTTTTTATAAGAGGGGTGTTATCATTAAACATGGTGTACAACATTTAGAATTTAATAATATAAAATACAAACTTTTGGTTCTTGTATATTAATTAGGGTGATAAGTTGTGTGTGTATATATCATATCACTAATAAATAAAGTCGGTCTCGCAACCAGGCCACGAGACGATGACACTTGGCATTCCAATTTTTCGCCAAATGCCGTGCCACGTAGGAGATAAATAGGTATTATTGTGACACATATGATGCTAAGTAAGCGATTTTTGGATAGATTTTTTAAGATAAAATTGTGGTATCGAGTTTTATTATCGATAAAATTCTAACATTTCATATATACAAAATTAATCATAACTTTTAATAAATATCCTATAACTCAATTTTATTTCCATCATCAAATTTGTTTTAAAAAGTTCTTTAAAATGAGATCCATTTATAAAAGTATATTTGTCACAAACTTTAATACGTAGCTAGCCAAACCGTATCACCAACTATTACAAGAGTTGCTTCATTAGTGTTATAGGGTTTACTTGGTTTGTGTTATAGTGGTTACTCAATCAGTATTATAGATAAGGGTTACATAGTCAGTGTTAAAGGTTACTTAGTATTACAGGGGTTACTCGGTCATTTTTATAGGAGTTACTTTGATGGTGTGGTTAGCCGCATATAAAATGCATTGTTATTTGATTCTTTACAAAAATATATTAGAGAATCAGTAAAATTAAGTTTTAATCAGTAAAAATATTTTTAGTTTGGTAAAAAATACTTTAAGCTCAGTGGATTTAATAAAAATAATTTCAAGTCAATAATAACATAGATATCTATTTAAAAACAAAACTACAAAAAGTACACTATTATATTTATATAAGCCATATAATATCGTATGTCAAAATATCCTACATTATTAGAACGAATTATTTAACCGTATTTAACATTCAAGTAAAATGTTATCTTAAAATTTTATCAACCATCTGGGCATCGTCCAGGCACAAAACTAGTATATATATATAAACGGACAACTTATTATATGATAGTTGAACTTTGCCTTTCCATCATCATCAAAACTACTTAAGGTTCAACTATGTGTCACGTAGAGCCACATAAGATTATGTTTTAAAAAAAGTGCTATGTAGGATTATGATTTTTAATAAATTAATTTGAATATAATTAATCCTACAAAAATCGTATTTAAAAAACCAAACTTTATCGTTAATAATTGATATAATTATTATATTTTATTAAAACTAAACGTATAAGCAAGAGCTTATTTTAACCAATGATAAAAGAGATTTGTATATTATTTTGGAATTAAAAAAATTACAATTGCTGTAGGGAATTTTTCAAACTCAACCTTTTGAGCTCCACTGTGTTCCAGCTTTTAGGCATGGCGGCGCTACAAGGGAAGGAATCTAGAAATAGATGAGTCACCAACAAGTTTTAGAAACTTGTAAACCATTCACAGGTGCAAAGCTTACACC